ATGTGAATGTGTGAGTGTATCATTGTGTGCATGTATGTGTGTGTGTATTTTGGGGTGTCCAGACTCCTCGTACCACCCGTAGGTCTCAAAGGTCACACTGTGTCGATTTAACCACGTGGACACACTTTCAACTGCCTCTAGGTCTCTACCTGAGGCCTCCACCCATCACTGCCTCCAGAAACCTCCACTTTCATGGCCCCGGTCTCACTCCCACTTACTTCTGTAGTGGGGGGAGGGGCGTAGAGGTGGCATTGTTGCCCTTTTGCTCTTAGCTCTGTGGCCTGCTCTGGGTGGGTCTACTCTGGGCTCCTGTGGTCTGAACTCTCAGTGTCCACTCCACAATCAGTGACCTCTCGTACAGTGGCCTTGGTTCTGTAACACATCTTGAAACAGGCAATTTAAAAACAACAGATATCAGTGTGTGCAGGAGATTGTTTCCTATCAACACGCGCCATATAAATAAAGATGACTTATTTCATACTAATGTAAAACATTTTTAAAACCAGAAACTCTTTCTTAATAAAAAACAAGACTCAAATCTCAAAAAAACTTTTAAACTTAAAAAAATGTATTCTATTTTGTACTTCTGTACTGTGTGATGTTTTTAATCTTGGCGTCCTTGGGTTTCTTGAAATTCGCCATGAAATAGAATGAATTATTATTATTACTCAAATCGCAACTAAAACTGTATGAACAATCTCTTAATGAATTTGGAAAAACATTAAAACAAAACTTGAAAACATGAAATCAAAGCAAAAAGATTAACTAAACTGGATTAATCACTTTATGGAATTTCCCTTTTACACTTTACATTTATAGCATATATCCTGATTTAAAATCATTGCTGCATTCTTCAAATGCACTCAATAAACTTTTAAAAACATTTTGAATTGGAAGACACTATCAAACTCTGCTCGCCCTGCAGTGTGCAGCAGCTGCAAGGCCAGAGCTATAGACAAAACAAAACTCACAGCTTTTAGACTGTGAATTGGGTCACAGTTCAACTTAATAATAATACTTTTACAGCTATCCTGTTCTATTCCTAATCCCTCTTTTCTTTTTTACACAAACTCTATAATCAATCATTCTAATCACTTTTAACACGGATTCTAATTTAAATGTTTTGAAAAACGGCTTTTGTAACTAAAATAAAAATACATATAAAAATTCGAACTAACAGTTATGAAATACATCAGCGATACAATAATGGACTCAAAAAATAAGCAGCAGATTTAAAAAGAAAAGCAACGTTTTTTTAGTTCTAATCTTTGGATTTCAAAAACAAAATAATTCAAAACTTATTCACTAATGGTGTTTAAAAACGTTTAATTGTGTCATAACACAATGTTCAATCAAAAATTTCCCAAATTTAACGGAATAAAACCATAAAAAGCCAAAATTCTAAAGACGGTATCTCCTTTAATACAGAGCAGAAGAGCAGAGAGAAAGCAGAGCCGCGCGAGGGTGGGGGCGGTTACCCTGGCAACGCAGCATGAGAGAGAGACGCACACACACAGACATACAGCAGTAAGAATTCCTTATCAGTTTAACTTTCAAGATTGGTTTTATGTTATATAACACTTAAAAGTAAACCAAAATTCCTATAATTCACAAGAAGTTATGCTAAAGACCAAATATATGCAATTTACACTCAATTTCAAGAATATGTCTGATGTTTTTCTTTATACTTTTGTCATCCAAGTCTAGAAATGATCACTTTCCACACTAGTAACAAAAGGCACTCTTGTCTTTAACGTTTACGCTTCTATTTTATCGAGGTAGCAAACTAATTTAAACTCAAAATCTCTTTCTAAAAAACAAAAACAACTGTTGGATACAACCCTCTCACAGCTCAACTGTAGATAAAACTCGGCAAAAAATGTAAATAACTCACGAAAGCTCTCATAGCTCAACTTTAGATAAAACTCGGCATTCTCCGGTGAACTCTGTTCACGCCAAAAACAAACTAAAACACAAAAACTCCTTTTTTCTGTATGTAATTTAAACCGTGATCACTGAAATATTGTTGCTTCTTTACTTTTGTCATTTATCAGTTTGAAATTTGTCAATTTCAAAGCTTTTGTAACAAAGGCCTCTTTTTCACATTTTCCTTTTTATTGCTTTTATGTTTATACCATGGTTTCTCTATTCTTATGGGCCTCTAACCTTCTGTGGAACTTTAACCCTTTTGTGGGACTTTAACCCTTTTGTGGGACTTTAACCCTTTTGTGGGACTTTAACCCTTTTGTGGGACTCTAACCCTTTTGTGGGACTCTAACCCTTCTGTGGGCCTCAAACCCTCTGTGGGCCTCAAACCCTTCTGTGGGCCTCAAACCCTTCTGTGGGCCTCAAACCCTTCTGTGGGCCTTTAACCCTTCTGTGGGCCTTTAACCCTTCTGTGGGCCTTTAACCCTTCTGTGGGCCTTTAACCCTTCTGTGGGCCTTTAACCCTTGGGCCTTTAACCCTTTTCCTCTGCAGGTAGCTAACTTCTCTTCAATACAATCCTATATATAGATAAAACATTTGGCAGACCCCAAAAACAGACCACAATTTAGCTCACTCAATGAGGCAGACTTTGAATTAACAGGTGTCCGCTTACCTTTTCCTTTGTCGAACAGGGCCCAGGTGCTGTCCAGAGGTCCACCAAATACCAGCTTTTTCCACGTCCAACCGGGGTCTCTCAGATCATGAAACAATGCTCACTAGTACCGGGAACTAGTTTCCATCGGCTGAGAAATATCACACGTCAGAAATCCCCGAAATACAGACATGGAAAAATAAATGTAAACACTAAAAGTCAGAAAGGTCAGTGAGAGAGCAAAGAAACATCCGAATCGACCACTTCTCCAGCCAGCTGGAACAGCGTCTGTCCCAGATAGTCCCAGCTCTCTCACGCTGAAAAAAACAATTTCAAAACAACCAGGGCAAAAGTGTGCTCAGTCCCGCATTCCTCCACCAAATCTGTCGAAAATCAGACGCATAGGCAGGGATCTTTGCACACCAGAGCAACCTGGAAGTTTATTCACAACAGGTGGTAGATTCAGGCAGAACAATAAACAGGGAAACATTATATTTTGGAATTTGCGTCATCATGAAAGAGCCAAACCCAGGCGTCAGTCAGCTAAAACAACGGATACACAATCGTAGCAGATATACAATCAAAGAACATTGTGTGTCTTGTACTTCTATTTTATCTTGTTTTTGTTATCTTGGCCATGGACTATACAGGCCATGGCCTTCTATTGTTCATACTAGGAATTCACTTTATAACTAATCTTTCAAAACCATCAAGTTACTAGGTAGGATAAATAAAATGCTCTAGGGGTACTCAAGACAAAAAGGATGGGAACCACAAATATACGTTACAGAGCATTGAGATACATAAAAAAAAAAATGCAATGAAATACAGCAATACTGTGTATGCTCATGCACTCATCTCCCTCCAACATTTCTGTGAACATAACATGCAAAGTCCCGACGCGGGATGTTTTTGCCTGTGACTCGGAGTTCAGCGCCTCGCTGCTGTTTGTGTGTTTGCGCTGTGTGACTCTGGCTGGGCTTGGAGTGTCATGTGAGAATATACAGTTTGGTAAAGCTGCGGGAGGCAGACATCAGTCAAATATTTCCGTGATGGCATATTGAAGCAGTGGACATGAGTCGTTTGAATCCAGCGCTTTCCGCAACAGACGAAGGCTGGTGGCAGAGGGGAAATTCTATAACTTTCGTGCCTATTTCGTTTTGTTTCTTACCGTCATTACTGTGTGGATGTTGCCGCTGTACAGTCTCCGTAACTGATAGCTGCATGAACTGCTTGTTTATGCAATTTTGAGGAGAGAAAGTAACTTGTGCGCACGAACCCCCATCATGATCGGTCTTTTTGATCGGCTACTGACCGATCAGTGCACCTCTAGATTATACAGTATGTACCTACTGTATGTCTCTGTGTCTATATGTACCTGTGTCTCTGTGTTTATATGTACCTGTGTGTCTCTGTGTCTATATGTGCCTATGTCTCTGTGTCTATACTGTATGTACCTGTGTCTCTGTGTCTATATGTACCTGTGTATCTGTGTCTATATGTACCTGTGTATCTGTGTCTATATGTACCTGTGTCTCTGTGTCTATATGTACCTGTGTCTCTCTGTGTCTATATGTGCCTATGTACCTGTGTCTCTCTGTGTCTCTCTATACCTATCTCTCTGTGTGTCTACATGTACAGTACCTGTGTCTCTACATATACAATCAGACTTTTGTCAAACCAAGATATCTCATAATTTAGCTCAATGTTATTTGAACTCTTTTTTTGACCACAGACTGGTCTTGTCTCATATCTGTTTGCTAAGCAGGAAGGGGTATGGTCAACACTGCAATGGGAGACACTGTAGCTCTCATGCAAATGGTTGCTGTGTCTGTAAGCAACACACTTCATACACATTGTCTAATAAATCCGGGTGTGTTTGAGTGAATGGGCTGTGGTCTCCTCACTTCCATCAGTCTGCCCCCAGTGGCAGTAGTTTCAGTGTCAGTCTCCAAAGGTAATGGGAAAAAACCTTTTTGATAATACAGCTTTTCAGTTTCCAAGGTCATCACACTCAGCTCTGCTTTCTCCCATGGATTTAAGATGGAACTTTATTAATATTATCAATTATAGATTGATTGTATATAAAGATTATCTGAAAACCCAAACACGTCTTGCCTAAGGACACAACGGCAGTTTGTCACTTTGCAGCTGCATCAGTGTTGACCAGGCCCTGTGTGTGAGCTGAACTCTGGATGCTAGAACTCTGGATGCTAGAACTCTGGATGCTAGAACTCTGGATGCTAGAACTCTGGATGCTAGAACTCTGGATGCTAGAACTCTGGATGCTAGAACTCTGGATGCTAGAACTCTGGATGCTAGAACTCTGGATGCTAGAACTCTGGATGCTAGAACTCTGGATGCTAGAACTCTGGATGCTAGAACTCTGGATTTTAGTGAACGTCTTTCTCTGGTCCGCAGGTACCTGGGCATCACCAAACCCCTCACGTACCCGATGCGGCAGAACGGCTGCTGCATGGCCAAGATGATCCTGTCGGTGTGGCTGCTGTCCGCCTCCATCACCCTGCCGCCTCTGTTCGGCTGGGCGCAGAACGTGAACGATGGCCGCGTCTGCCTGATCAGCCAAGACTTCGGCTACACCGTGTACTCCACCGCCGTGGCCTTCTACATCCCCATGTCAGTCATGCTCATCATGTACTACCGCATCTACCGCGCCGCCAAGCTGAGCGCCGCAAAGCACACCATCACCGGCTTCCCACGGGACGGAGACTCAGGCACCTCCCGCGGGGCCAAGGCCACGCCCAGTGAGTCCCAGCACGCCCTTGAGTCCAGGGACACGGCCAGCGCAGAGGGGACCCAGGTGAGGTCAAAGGCACCTTATGTAAAGACCATTGTTGATTTTGGACCATGTCACGACGCTCACATAAACAGACCCATACATATTTTTCCAGCTGGAGCTTTGGTAACCATGGCTACCAGCAGCCGTCTGGTCAATCATTGTCAGTTAGAACAATTTAGTAACATCTCAGCCTGGATAGAACCAGGACCAAGAGGGACTAAAGAAGGCACTGGTTTAACAGAGCCGGTGAAAACGCTGCCAGTCACGCAGGGGCCGATAAGAGTAGAGTAGAATAGAGATGTGTAGAGTAGAGTAGAGATATAGAGATGAGTAGAGTAGAGTACAGATGTAGAGATGTTGTTAGCTGTAGGGATACCAATGTCAGAGATCCTGCACACACTCACCCATTCTAGTTGGTTTTATAATATCTTGTTTGTTATAACAAAAAGTACTTGTTTCTTGGTTTACTAGGCATAATAAGAACATTTAATGACACTAAACAGTTACAAGATGCATCTTGTAGAAACAACAGGTATCCATGGTTTGTCCATGGATACAAACAAGGACACGTTGTGGAGAGAGATGCTCGGGCTCTAAGCATCAAGCCTTCTCCTAGATCCTGTCAGAGATAGTGACCCTGACAGGATCTAGGCAAGGCAAGGCAAAGCATGTTTATTTGTATAGCACAATTCATACACAAGGCAACTCAAAGTGCTAAACAAATAAGAAAGCATTAAAAACTTAAATAGTAACAGTACAATAAAAAGAAAGAATAAAATATAAAATCCCTCAGTTGTATGCACAGCTAAACAGAATTTTTTTTTTTACCTGGTTTTAATCATTGTCAGAGAGGAGGCAATTTTCAGGAAGATTGTTCCAGATTTTAGCAGCATGAATCTGAAAAGCAGCCTCCCCATGTTTAGTTCTGACTCTGGGCACTATCAGGAGTCCAGTCCCTGTGCTCCTCAGAGTCCGGAATGGTTCATATGGTACTAACATGTCACTAATATATTTTGGTGCAAGGCCATGGAGACTTGTACACAAGCAGAGCTGTTTTAAAGTCTATTCTCTGAGCCACAGGAAGCCAGTGCAGAGACCCGAGGACTGGACTAATGTGGTCGTACTTCCTGGTTCTAGTCAGGACTCGAGCTGCTGCATTTTGAATGTACTGCAGCTGCAATGGCCTGCACACAGGTCTCTCCAAACAGGCTGCTGTTTGGAGAGACCTGTGTGCAGGCCATTGGAGTAGTCTCCAGTAGTAACCTACTGGAGACAAATGCATGGATAAGAATCTCCAAGTCTGCTTTAGACACTATGTTTTTGATCCTGGCAATGTTTTTTAGATGGTAAAAAGCTTCTGATGTTACTGATTTAATGTTACTATTAAAATTTAAGTCTGAGTCCAGTATTACCCCTAGATTTCTGACCTGGTTTGAAGGTTTTAGGGAGAGAGACTGTAGGTGACATGACGCTCTCTCTTTGTTTCTGGGGACCAAAGACAATCATTTCAGTTTCCACTCACTGATCTGTTGGATACAGTGAAGGAGTGAGTCCACTGGTCCACGTTCTCCTGCAATCAGTGAGACATAGATCTGAGTGTCGTCTGCATAATTATGATAGGACACTTCGTTTCTGCGTTTCTAGGAGAAGAGGCCAGAGACACCAGAATGACCACATACAGACCAGCGAGATAGGACAGAGAGAGAGAAGAGAGAGAGAAGAGATTGACCAGGAAAAAAGACCAGGGAGAGATCCAAGAGACCAAAGACAGTGTTCAAATGACAGAGAGCCCACAGTGAGAGACACCCCACATATCTATATGTCAGCCATCACACACATGGCACATTCAGGAGGGACAGCCAAGATACAGTTGTGGGCCCCCACAGCATAACGAGAACATTTATACTAAGTGATTGTTTTCTCACAATGTCTCTCTCATCCCATGCATTATCAGGTGAGAGGTGGCGGCATAGACGGGGAAGATGAAGAAGACGAGAGCTTGGACTGCGTGTCAGCCGCCCTCAAACTCCAGCGAGAGGTTGAGGAGGAGTGCACCGGGCGGGTCTCACGACTGCTGAAGAGCGGGGAGCACCACCAACGTCGCAAGAGGAAGAACCAGTCCATCTTCAAGCGCGAGCAAAAGGCCGCCGCCACCCTGGGCATCGTAGTGGGGGCCTTCACCTTCTGCTGGCTGCCCTTCTTCATCGTGTCCACGGCCCGGCCATTTGTGTGCGGGGTGGAGTGTAGTTGCGTACCCCTGTGGTTGGAGCGGACTCTACTGTGGTTGGGTTACGCCAACTCGCTAATCAACCCGTTCATATACGCCTTTTTCAACCGCGATCTGAGGACCACCTACAGCAACCTCCTGCGCTGTCGGTATCGCAACATCAACCGGAAGCTGTCAGCAGCTGGCATGCACGAAGCGCTCAAGCTGGTGGAGAAGCCCGAGTCCGAGCTGTAGGGAGATCTTATGGAGAGGGATGTGTCGGGACTTTCACATGTGACCCTATTCTGTGCACCGACATCCTCTGTGAGTGGGGAACCTGCTTTTTTCAGGCTCTCCAAAAACCTGTCCATCAAAAGACCTGACAAACCTTACCTTTTTTGGTACCATTACTTGGAAAAAACGTGGTTGCAAGTCTTTTTTCATGTCTTCTTCAATGTCTATAAGCCTCAAGTTCAAGTCTCAAGTCTTCAAATGAACTTACCAAAGTTGTTTGTGTTGGATCTTGATGGTTGTTTTCCCATTGTCTTTTCCCAATAGTATGTCGATGAATAATGGTTATAGGAGGATACAGTATATACAGCACAATATTTCGGAGTGTATATTGTACTAATTGGCAGAACACCTTTGTGACCTGGGGACCTGAGAATAACCCGCAATACAGTACCTATAGTTCCTGTCTCCAGTACTGCCACCGGAAGAATCCACAGAGAGACACATAAGGCCGAGACGTAGGAGCCCTGTAGGAGAACCCTGTGGAGCTTTTTTGGGATAGGGGTGATGATTGATGTTTCAGGACAGGGTCTGTAGAGTGAGGGAGCGGACTGTATGGTGAGGGAGGGGACTGCAAGGTGAGGGAGGAGACGGTGGGGTGAGGGAGGTGCGGAGACAGATTTAGCAGAGATGTAAAGTTGTTGAAGTGACTAGCTTGGTGTTTTCACCAGAAATTGTAAAAACACCCTTTGTTTTTTTACTGACCGAATTGTCAGAATAACCCACAAGCCTTAAAAAAATACTTTTGTTTTACCAGTACTTTAAGAAGAGTTGAGACCAAGTTGTTGATTTGACAGTTGTGTCTAAGTCCATCCATCCATTTTCTACCCTTTAATCCATTTCTGGGTCAGGGGGGTGGCAGTCAGAGATGCCACCCAAGTCTCATAGCACCAGCCCCTCACTGACCCTCTGCAGGTGGTGAGTCCACAGGAGAACGGCTGCTCTCTGAGTGTGAGCATAGCCTTGATATTTCAGCGGGGGCTTTGGGCAAAGTGGGGTTAAGTGTCTTGCCCAAGGACACAACGACAGCAGTCATCAGTGGGAGTCAGAGAAGGTGTGGAGGTGGGAATTGAACCCACGACCTTCAGGCCTGCAGGCCAGTGCTCTACCAACTGAGCTACTGTCGCCCCTGTGTCTAAGTCCTAAATCTTATTACTTCAACTCTAGTCAAGAACTGACAAGCCAAGGTTCATCTAGTTCATCATATCAAGACTACAGTGACTATAGTCTTGTTTTATGGCTCTTTCCCCAACATTCACCATTATCTACTTAAATTCAGATGGATAATCACACATTGAATTGAACATTTGCTTGAAAGTTCTGTCTGTTCAATTCAGAAGAGCAGTCGTATCAAAGGACTTTACAAAGTAGTTGATTCACCAACAACAGATCAGAAAGTGAAACAGTTCAAACAATGGAAATGCAATGATAACAAACATGGGAACCATTGTTCTATGGGGAGCTGTATGACCGCTGTCCATAAATGTTTATCATTTCTGCCAATAACTTCCACACATGACTTGTTTGGAGGGATTTGACCATTTAAAGATGACAAGAAAGTACTGGGGAATGTGTTCTGCTGATGGGCTCCTCTAATCAGAACAGAGAACAGAATACAGACATGCCCTAATTTAAACCAGGTGACTTTTGTGTAGACCAAAGACCTGGAAGTCAGCAGACTTGTCCGGTAATGTTAGTGATATGGGAAGAGTAGGAGAGACACCCATACTCTTAAAGCCGGGGTACCTTATTTTTTGGATAAATAACCCATGTCGTTTGTCCATTTACAGACAAAAGCAACAACATGCTGTCTTTATAGGATAATTTGATTAATAATAATATAATTTGATAACAGAGCTCTGTGAGTCACTGCTTGACTCTTTGGGATGAGAGCTGATTGGCTCACGGATGGTGGTCCTCTATTTTTCACTTTTCTGTCAGAAAAAAAGTTGACAGAGGCCAGAAGTGAAAACGAGTGATAGATACTAGTGATTTCATACATTCTAATTGATTGTTTGAAATTTGGGTACCCAAGCTTTAATCTGGGGTAAGGACTATGAAGATTTTTATGCCAAGTAAGAAACCAGAGCTGTACAAAGATTCCTGATGTAAGTTGTTCTGTTTACTTGGTTATTACGTCGTTGGCCGTAGAATAAAGCTAGAGAACATAAACAACGCCTTTTCTGCAATGTTACATTTTTGAATGATTGTTTAGAAAATAAATATTTCAATTTTAAGGACATTTTTAAAAAAGTGACAGCTGAAAAAATCAAATCAAATGTTATTATACAAAGTGCTTATCCTATATCAAAAAAATGCAGTACAAGCTTTGCAATTCCACATGCCCTACACGCACACACACACACACACACACACACACACACACACACACACACAAAGACACACATGCTTGCAAAGATACACACAGACACGTGCATGCACACACACAGAAAAGCAAACACACACACACATAAATGCTCACACACAGATATACTGTATGTAGATATGAGCCTGGTATTAGATGACAAAGTTTGAACGTGGGTAAAAAAATATCAAAACAAGAAACAAAAGGAAACATTTGATGCAAGACTTTTGCTTGTTGTGGATGACAAGAGAACCATCAGGAGGACTGAGGACAATGGACATCCTGATGTCTGGTGTTAAAAATGGACACATTTGAGACAGAAAGACAGATATAAAACAAGATGTACATTTTCTGTGCTGATGTACACAGAGCCATGTAAATATATTTATAGCTGACTTTGTCTACTGCACCTGTTTTTACTGTAACTTTTGTAAATATTGTTGTGCGACATCACTCTCTGTATGTAATGTGCCAAGAAACCCTTTACTTTCCTCTCATCCTTCTGGGAGAGAAGGCAGCTCAATAAAACCCCACCAGTGTGTCCCTTATGAGCTTGGGAAAGAAGAGCTATGGATAAACATGTGCGTTTCGTATAAGAGATCATGAGAATGAGCAAGAACAGTTCCATTCAATTCATTTTTTGTTTTTTAATTTATTTTATTTTTGAAACCGTCATTTTGCCAACTCAGATCAGAGATTTAAATAGTTCAAATGCGAGAAATGCAATAGTCTCGTTTCCACCGCAGGCGTTCCTGGTAAAAGGAGAGGGTGGGACATCTACAGGAACTGTCTTCTCACTTGGCCTCAAGGGCCGTGTCTCCACGTCAGAGTAGGACCCCTCCTCGACGTCATGAGTGTCGATCGCCGCATAATCAATTATTTATTTTACCATCAGAACCACTCCAGTTGTTATGGTCTTTCAGTTTTTTTATAATCCTGCTTCCGATTAAAAATAAATAACATTCACAGCATTGTTTCTGAGTGTGATGAATCTCCAGTGCTTCGAGGTGAAGCTGATATATCTTTTCATTTCGCCGCAATACCCCAAACTCCGTCTTAATTTCATTAGTTCTGTAGAAAGCAATTAATGTCTTAATGCAATTAATGTAATTTATTGTACATCTTGCTGTTGTTGTCTGCTGTTTCAGTGGTGTCTGCTAGGCTATTGCTGCTGGGATGATGCTGCTAGGCTAATAATGCTGAATTAAAAAAGAAATCTGGTTGTTTTGAGGCTTTGGTGTCAGAGCCTGCTCTAGCTTTAGGCAATATGCGCTGGGTTAACTTCAAGCCCCACCAGGAGCTGCCCAGGGCCCAATGGAGTACCTAGCATGGAAGAAGTGGCCCTGTGGGGGAGGGTCCTGCAGTGGAGACACGCAACAACAGGGCTGGCCCTGGAAAATTGCCCCAAAGTTCCAGCGGTCGAAACGCGGCTAATGATAAAAACACATAGGGCTATTTGGTCCATAAGGTGTTGTCATGGAAGTAATCCATTACATTATAGGTTTTCACATTTTTAATTTCTATTGACATTCCTTAAACTAATTTAGAAAAAAACACTTGTTTTAAAAGACAAGAAAACAGCTCAATCCTTGACTCAAGGATGGCACGTGTAACAACAGGTTGTTTAGGCCAGATGTGACTGCGATTCAACTCTGAGTACTATTCAAAAGACTGGTTCGGGAAGGAGCCTGGGTTGTGAGGTGTAGAGTGAGTGATACAAAACAACTGATTGAGTTTTGAGTTTGGTATTGTATTAAAAGGAGAAAGTAAATAACACAAAATTGTACAGAATAACAATATAACAATACTGACAGCCACAACCTCGCTGATAACGATACTGTTCTCACGATTCACACGCTCGGTGTTAGAGTCTGTGCTCCCATTCAAAGGGAGAGAAGAGAAGAAACCAAAATAGTCCACGATAGTCCAATATTGTCCGTTGGACGTAAAGGAAAAAAATTAATTGATAGTCTTTTATCCTACCAGGAGTCCATGGCAGGGACAGGGAGATATCAGGATGAGGTGTGGAAACAGCTCAGTACAAAAAAACCGGACCTGACAAGAGGCCAGAAAAAGACAAATTAATATTAGGAAAATAAGAGTTAGCTATGTAATGCTCTTAGTTGACTAAACTTAACTTCAATGTATCTATAAGCTACAAGATATTTACAATCTAAAACTGCAGATTAAATCATCAAATTTCAAATCACATTCAATTAAATTAACATGTCAACATTTCATCAATAGAAAAGTCTCAGTATACACTAATGCTTAAACACTTCAATGAGAGTACTTCAATAAATATTTACATTTACATAGTCAATATTTCAAAAGATAGCTGCATACATTACATAATGTAGTACAATTAAATAATACACATACAAGTATGTGGAATCATTAATTCACGGGTGTAGATCCAAAAAGCGATCAAACAAAAATGTGATTTCCAGTGCATCAAACGCACTTTGGTAATCAATAAATTATGTATTTCAATTCAGGATCATAGTGCACTAATAATAATTATCTTCTCTAAATGTTTCAGTTATCATGGGAACATAATTTGCATGATAACTAAGTGTTGCGCAACAAACTTTAGAGT